AACACAGGCTTTTTGACAATCTAAACAGCTTGTACACAAATATAAATACTTATTTTTTACTTATTTTGTGTTTTTGTAATAATTATAGGGAAAATATTACATCAGCAATTATTTTATTACCCTTTAAATTGATTTCTGGAGATTATCCAAGGCGCTTCAGCATGACCCATAATTGGGAACCAAAGTGCAGTGGTATGATATATTTAACTGATTTTTTAAATCCCAAAAAAAAAATAATCTATGATTTATAAGAGTAAATCAGGAAAATTATCAAGGCTGCCCAAACTTTCACACCTCACTGTACAAATTAAGGGAAAAACACTAAACCTTTAGTTGGAGTTCCGCTTTCTCCTTCCTTCAGAAACCTTCTGCCCACTGACAGCAGCTGAGGATGCCATGTAGCACCTACCAAGATGGAGGCACAAATTCTCGTCTTATTAGATTGTTTTGCCATTTAATTTTTATTTCCTTTAACTTTGTGTTTGTGAAGTATTTGTCTAACTGTTAGTTTCCTTTTTGGCTTGCTAGCCGGCAGAAGCGTTTCACACTCATTAAAAACGACTACATTTCCCATAAGGCTCCTGTTTGGCTGCCGCTGATGACGCTAGAAGTGCGCGCATGTAACCTTGTTCTGCTACACACCGGAGGTTTTAAAACAGATGTAAACACATCGTTGAACAGTTTTTTATGGTTGTGTTTGGTTGTTAGCATTATTCCGGAGCAATGAAAAAATACATTTTACCGGTTTCTGTTTTTGGAACAGTGGCTGGCTGTGCTGTTTTACTGAAGTGAGTAACAAAATATAGCTTCATTAAGTTTTGATGCATTTGCTTTCCTGCCTGGGTACATGGTATTTAAAATGTAATCATCATAGCTTATTTCTTATTTGTTTTCGTTTTATAKTTTTTTGGAACTGCATATTTGCAAACCCATTGAATGGTTAGCAAAAACTCTTCTCAAACAGCAACCACCCAAGTTCTGAGCTTGATCCGAATAAACATAGTTTAAACTTTAAACTGAGATGTGAGAGATGTTATACACGGATCAGTCTGCAGTCTGGGTTTGTGTACACGGCAAACAAAAAACAAACAAAAAACAAAACAAAACAAAAAAAAACAACAACCCTAAAAGACTTCTGAAGATTTCCTTTAGCATCAAACTCCTGTCCCGCACCTCTGTGTGTTTTCCTGCTGCAAAACACACGTCTGACTGAAATAAAAGTCTTTAACAGGTTTCTGCACACCTTGATGAAAAGCTGCACTAAACCACACAAACTAAACAAATAATTTGACCCACTCACCTTTTGTTGGTCTGCTCCTGAAAGGTGAACCATAAGATTTTTGCTAATTT